TATTTCAACACAATCATGTAGTCGTTATATTGATGCCACAGCTGCTAATAGTGCTGAAAAACGACGAAATAGTATCGTTTCACAAGTAGAACGTACAATAATTCGCCCTGTTACGGTCAGTAAATTACCAAGAGAAATTTCAACACAATCATGTAGTCGTTATATTGATGCCACAGCTGCTAATAGTGCTGAAAAACGACGAAATAGTATCGTTTCACAAGATAGAGGAAGTGTGAATCTTTCAGAATCTATACCTTCAACACGCAATGGTCCAAGCAGTACAGTCAATGTTTATAAAGTGAAACGCGTGAAAAGTTCATCATCGTCCAGTAATAATCATCCATCAAATGTAATTGAAACGATAAAACTCGAAACTCTTCAACAATCAACTAATCCTAGTCGTTCTGAAACAGCTGAAAAACAACCGGCCGGTGATGGTATTACTGTTAGCAAAGTATTAAGAGAACGAACATCGCAAACAAAACGTCCGGTATCTTCATCACCCAATACCGGTACAAGAACCAAATCATTACATATTATTAGTGAAAATAATTTTAATAAAAAAGAAGAACGTTGTGCTAGTGATCTCCAAGAACATAAAATTCGTTCTGACTCGGCTGTCAGCGTTGTCAAAGTAAAACGTGTTCATACTACCTCGAAATCAAAAACTGATCCTATGATTGTGTCGGATATAGAGTTGGATACAAAACCACCAAATATACCTGAAAACACAGGAAAAAGTGTCACGATTAACAACAGCACATCACCTGCAGAACCACAAATAAAATCAGTTAAAAGTTCCAAAGGAAAGGGAAAAGGTGTGACGGTGGCAAAAATTTCACGAATAAACACTGCAAAAGTCAGTGATATTCCCTCTGGTCCAATAGTAACAGAAGTGCATACGTCTTCAGAAAATACTCAAGCGGATAGTAATACTAATCAGATCACCAAATGATGACCACATGAAAACGAACTGATCTTTTATACAAAAATCAGGCACATTTTTAGGCATAAGTCGAACCCTTGTAAATTTGAATTTATAAACGACTGATACTTGCAGTAACTTCAAATATTTGTTGAAATATCGTACAAAACGATGATTAATAAAGTGTGCGACTTTTTGTAGTAATTTTCAATTCTAAGACCAATCGAAGTTTTTTCCGTTCTAGCCGCGTGGTGAACGGTGATAATGAGGTTTTCATCAAACTCGTTTCGTTGCTTCAGTTACACGTGAGGCCCTCCATGCAACCCGGGAAGGACTTTTGGAGCCCCATGGGCCCTTCACAGTTATTAAAAACCATTTTCTGCTTTTTAAGATATCTTCTAGTTGTTCCATTAGTCAAAATATTGACTTCTCCGTATTAAATATGTTGAGTTTTGTTCTGTACCCACTTAAAATCAACAAGCCGCCAAATGAAATATGCTTCTGAAGCTCGTCTAAAAAAAGAATGACTATTGAATAGTTTAAAGCGCTGTAATTATTACTATATGTCAACTATTTAACTTTGTTGCATCGTTAGTCTCAAAAATTTTGCTCCTATGAAATTCTTGAATTTACTAAATGAATGAGGATGAGGATGCGTCTTCTGAAAAGTACATTCTGGACAGAAAAACTTTTTAACCGTCACACCATATTTTGTTCAGCTTTGATCCGATAGATGAGAAATGTAAGAGATTTCAATGTTAGTCATAGCGATTAACAGATCTCGGAGTTTTGTCCACAAGAACAATAAACAATGGCCTGAATAACAACACACGTGTACGATGCTATCTGCTTCAATGTGTGTAGGAATGACGCTGTCAATACAACTGGAATATATTTTCTTATCTATTTTATTTATAGGAAAAATAATAATTAATAAAGGACACCGCCAGCTTTCAAAACTCTTTGTGTTTTGATTTTCTCTGATAGGGTAAAGTAGAGAATTAGAAGGCGCACATGCTTGGATAGTTTCCAATGGTTGCTAATCTGCCAAAATCAGAGCAGACTGTTCAGTGACTGCAACGAAAAAGTTGAATTTTTTCAACCCCTAAAGTTTTCTAGTAATACTAATATCATATTTGTAATCAGGAGATGAAACTGAATAGAATCAGATTCATTTCGACCATTAGCTATGCGAAGTGCTAAGCGAAATGTTTCTTCGAAATTATTTTGTTTTAAGTAGCTGGCAGAGACGTCCATTTGTACAAAGTCATGATGTAAGTTTAGATTTTGAGTATCTTTTGTGCATTCTTCCCTCGCGTATTTTTTTCCTTTGAACAACGAACCGATATATCTTTTCTCCAGTTTAATAGTATTTTTCCTTGACCTTAGTCTAGAGTCTTACAAAATGACTGTGTGTGTGTGTGCGCAAAATACGGGAAAATGGCTGTCACAGAAAATTATTTTTTACATAAGAGAGAAAATATTCAAAGAGATCGTCTGAAATATTTACTGATGCAAAGAGGTGAACAGCTCAGTAACCGTTTTCTGTGGGCCGGGGGTAGATGTCGCCAGATAGCAGTCAACTGTGACAATACAAAAAAAGTGGTGTACGAGTAATAAAATTGATAGTGTATAGATAATCTATTATAACAAATCGATTAGAAATACTTCCAACCTCCTTGGGATCTGCAGAGGGTGTGCGGAAAACCTTTTAACTTTATATTACATTAAATGGTTTTTTGATGGAATCAGAGAAGTACATAACGTTTCTCATCTATACTGGTTGCTAACACCGACAGAAGGGAAGCGTGAGCATTGTTTTGAATTCAGAAATAGTTTTAGACCTCTTGAGATTTTTGTTCTATTTATATTAGATTACGAACCTTACACATGAAAACAGAAAAAAATCCAGAAGATGTCCTAGGTAGGTTTCTAGCGAGCGCCGACCGAATGGAGGCGTGAGCATTGTTTTGAATTCAGAATTATGTTTAGACCTCTAAAGATTCTTGATTTATATATTAATATCAGACTACGAACCTTATACATAAAAAATTAACAGAAATCCAGAAGATGCCTTAGTTAGGCCCCCAGCGAGCGCCGAACGAAGGGAGGCGTAAGCATTGTGTTCGATTTAAAAGTCACCAAAGGGCGTTCGCTTGCGCAGATCCAACTTAATAAAGTCAAGGGACCGAGAGCGTTACCTTGTATATAAATGTCTATGAAATCATACATGGAATATAGAATATATGACTAATGAAAATGCACATGAAAAAGAAAGTAAAACAATGGCGAGTGAAGCTCTCACCCTCTATCATGAATTCTGCTATGTCCCTTTACCTTCTAGCTTGAGAGCAGTAGCCTTGCGCATGTCCAGTTTGTCAATCAATATATGAGTGAACGAAGTGTAGACAAGGACTGAGCACTCTAACCCGAGCCAATCATTAAATAACTCCTTTTTACGATAAAGATTTTCTTGTAATATTTTTTCTTTCGGTTTTTGTGTTTTAGATTCAGGTGTTCTTAGTTCAGATACGAGCGAATCATCTGCAGGATATACAAAAGGAAATGTAAGAAAAAGGAGACAATCAAGACTCGTAATGTCTCGCGTTGTCCCAAAAAACCGGAAATTTATCATCGTAAGTTGAAGAATCCTGTTCGTAAAGCAAAAATGTGAATATACTTTTGTGAAGTTGTTCTGTTAGATTAACGGTGATTTAAATGCAACACAATTATCATTTTCTGATCAAGACAGTCTGAGCAGCGATGAAAACCCATCGGAAGATCAATTAGTTCATGATCGGTTATACGTCGAAGAATGGAGCACTTCCTTATTAAACATTTAAATATTTCTGGTAAAGAGAAAAATAAAAGATGTTTATCATAACTGATATTCTTTATTTTTGAGTGTAGCTTCCATTGTATTAAAACTACAAAATCTTATGGCATATTCGTTTCGAATGCACAACGATCAATTATATTTGTTTTTTAAATATATACGTCATCACGCTAATTATTTAGAAAATTTAAAATTG